AGGCTGCCCCACTTCTGGGAACCTGGGCTGAGGAGGAGCTGCAGAGACTGGGACAGAACTCTCAAACCTCTCCTTTGTTTCCTACTTCCCACTCACCACAGTGAATCCTGGGGCAGGAAGGCTGGGGCACACTTCACTGGAGGCCCCTGTGAGAATCTGGTGCCCTTTGACTTGAAGACAGCACCCCTTTCTTGCTTTCTTGCCTGGCTAAAATCTCCAGAGCCAATGTCAATGTCCTCCACACAGTGCAGTATGAATCAGTGCAGGGTGGGATCCTCACCGAACCCCTCTCTCTGTGTGTATTTGTGTGTGTGGGGGGGAGGTGCCCATCCAGCTTCAGGCTGAAATCTGAGGCTCAGGGACACTGAGTGGCAGCAGGGGGCAGGGCTATCTAATCTGAGTGCGCCACACTCAGAGAAAAACACTCCTCCAGCCACGGGTTTAGGTCCTGCACATTTGCCCCCAGCAGCACCGGACTCTAAAGAGGCTTGACTATTCCTTTCCAGGGTGGGCTAAGGTGATCTGGCCAGGTGAATTTCTGTGGGTCATTTAGTATGGGCCATTAGTCAAAGGGTACCCTCAGCTAAGGAAGTGCGGGCTTAGAGGAAACCCCATCCCTGGGTGGTGACTAGGTTTTCCTCAGGACAGATGGGGAAGCTTGGAGGAGGTGACTGGCAAGGCTGGAGAGGGACCAGTAGGTAGAGTGGATGGATGCACAGCCTGCCTCAGTTTACCCTAATGGAGATGACAGATGATCATCAGGTGAGGGCATGACCCCTGCTATGTCGTTTTCAGCTAAGACCAGAACATCCCAGGAAGAGCTGATTATTCACTGAAGTCAGGGAAACCGAGGCAGTCAAGACTGGCAGGAAGATCTGAATATCTGACCACCCAGTCTGGAGCTCTTCCTGCCTCTCTTGTGTTTCCTGGTCATCCCTCATCCCATTCAATACTAGTAGGCTGGGGTCTTTGGCTATGAGGGAGGGCATCACCTCCGCACTGAGTCCTCGTCTGCCGCCTCTCCTGCTGCCTCCCCTTTCAGCTCTTCCATCTAGCCGGATCCCGGCCCCTGTGGACACCAGGCTGTCCTCAAGATGGCACTCCACCCCCACCTGCACTGGGGCCCATTGATCATGAATAGCTGGGGGGCTCTTAGCTGGAGAAGAGAGAGAGGACTAGGAGAGAGAGGGGGAGCTTTGCAACGTCACAATCTCCCCACCTGCCCCCTTCCACACGTGCCTGCCCCTGGAGCTAAACCCAGCCAGTGGCCCAGCTCCAGACACTACAGTCAGAGGTGGTTTGGAGACACCCTACCCTGGACATCCTAGGGCCAGACTTTATGAACATCCAGACCAAGTGCCATCTCAGGAGAAAAGCCTTGGCCAGGGACGTGGACAGAGGCCAATTGAGGAGAGAAGGACAGCACTGAGAACTGAAGACTGTTGCTGAGCATATAGGCCAACCCAGCCTTGCTGGCTACTCCCCCTGGGTGAGGCTGCATCCCCGCCTGAGCTGAGATCCTGCTGTCTGCATGGCAGGTAGGTATGGTTTAGGCAGTAGAGGTGGCCTCATCAGTGGATGGGGTTCTGGGTGGGAGGCTCCCTAAGCTACAACCTCAGATCCTGCTGATCTTCCCCCAAAAGTCTTCGTTCCCTGCCACGATCCCAGGATCTTATGACCCCTTCATGGGTCAGGGGCAGTCAGGGTTGCTGCAAAGCCTCACCCGCACATGCTCTGTAAACAGTGGTACTGCCCACCTGGTGTGTTAGGCACCTCCAGCCACCTGTTTTTCTCAATGTTCAGAATTATTGTATGTGCGTTTTCCTGCACATACATGCAAGTGTGCACGGTAGGGTGGGGCAGCCATGGGACACGTGTGCAAGTTCAACGACAACTTTTGTGCAGCTGGTTCTCTCTTTCCAGCTTGGTTGGTTCTGGAAATGAAACTCAGGCTGTCTGGCTTTCATAGCAACCATTTTACCTGCTGAGACAGCTCACCAGCCTTCCCCTTCTCTTCATCTCTATCCGTCCAGCAGCCCCTTTCTCAGGCTTACCTGTTGGCGCTGCTGGGAATGGAGACCCGGCCACCATGGATTCTGTGGACCCTCCTGTCCTCAGCCCCTTACTGGAATGTTGTTCTTCACCGATTTCTGTTTCCGCATTGAGCAGGGGTGTCATATAGCTGAGGCTGACCTTAAATTCAGTTTGTAGCTGAGGGTAACGTCAGCTTCCAGGCGCTGGGTGTACAAGTGTGCATCACCACATCTGGCTCAAAATAACCTTCTTTAAAATCCAGTGCTGGGCATTGAAAACAAGTCCCCGTACATGATAGGCAAGGGCTCAACTGCTGAGCTTTATCCCCAACAAAACCTTTAAATTGCGGCAAGGATATATCATGTAGAACTTACCGTGTTAACTATGGCTAAGCATACAACATCAGGCATTAGGATATCCTTGGCTGTGTGCCCCTCATCGGTCTGCTTTCAGCTTTCGGTGTCTTAGAAAGCTGAAACTCTCTCATCCCCACGGAACATTCCTCCTCCTGGGCCCTGGCAACCCCACTGAACTCTGTTTCTGTAACTTTTTACCTTCTGTGAACAGAATTATACAGTTTGCCCCAGTGCTTCTGGCTTATCTCACTGCGAGAATGTTCACACAGAGCCTCAGAAAGTCCTTTCCTTTGCAGGGTGAATTACTATAATTACTATTGTAATCGTGAGCTACATTTTGTTTATCTGTTCATCTGTCAGTGGACACTCGATTGCTTCTGTCTTTTGGCTCTTGTAAGCAGTGCTGTCCCAGGTGGGTGTGCCGACATCTTTATGTAGGTTCCTTTGGTGATTCCATGTTTAGTTTTGTACGGAACTTTTGATTTCCTCAAAGGCTACACCATTTTTAAAATCCCACCCACCCTAGGATTCCAGTTTCTCCATAATTCCACCCACACCAGTTATTAAGCTCTGGCTTCTTTTGTCCTAGCAGCCATCTTGACGGCTGGACCTGGGTCTCACTGGAAACAATGCCACTGTTTTCTTTATTTGTGGCTTTTGAATTAGAGCCCTATCTATTTTATTTGCTTGTTAATTTTCTTTTTATTTTTTTTTCTTCCCGTTTCTTTCTATTTGCTGTTTGCTGGTCTTATGCAGCCCAGGCTGGCCTCAAACTCACTGCATAACTGAGAAGAGCCTTGACCTTCCCACCCTCCTGCCTCTGCCTCAGCCATCAAGTCCTAGCATTACAGGCATGTACTACCACGTTGCCGTGTTTTTAACGTGGCACTGGGGATCAAACCTAGCATTTGGGGGACACCAGAAAAGCAATCTACCAACTGAGCTGTGTCCCCAGCCTAGCGTCAGTATTTTTGTGTGTGTGTGTCAGTATTTTACGTTAATATTTATTTTGTAAGTGTGCCGGCTAGTTGTCAACTTCGCACAAACTGGAGTCATTTTGGTAGAGGGAATTCACCTGAGGAATTGCTTGCATCAAACTGGCCTGTGGGCATGTCTTTAGGGCATTGTTTTCCAATGTGGAGGATGCAGCCCCCTGGTGCAGTGCCTCCTCGGGCAGGGGGTCCTGGTTCAGGCAGGTGGTCCTGGTTCATATAAGAAAGCAAGCTGAGTCAGAGGGTGGCGACCACACCTTCAATCCCAGCATTCGGGAGGTAGAAAGGCAGGTGGGTCTCTGAGTTCCAGGACAGCCAGGGCTACGCAGAGAAACTTTGTCTTGAGAAGTAAACAAACCAAAAACAACAACAACAAAAACAAACAAAGAAAGTAAGAAAGTTGAACACGCCATGAGGAGAAAGCCAGTGAGCAATTCTTCCATGGCTTCAGTTCCTACCGCCAAGCTCCTGCTTGAGTTCCTGCCCTGGCTTCCCTCAGTGATAGACAGAGAGCTCTAAGCCACATTTAACCCTTCCTCCCCAAGCTGCTTCCATTCCTGCTGTCTTTGACATCAACAGATAGCGAACTAGCAGTGGTGAGCACAAATGGAAGTCAGAAGGTAAGCAACGCCAGTTTCCTCTTTACCATGTGAGTCCTGGGAACTGAACTCAGCTGCTCAGGCGTGGTAGCTCCTTCACCTGCTGAGCCACCTCACAGCCCATGTATCATTGTTTTTAGTGGGCGACGTCCTAATGCTGTGAGTTGCATGATTAAACATGGCTAACTCGATAAATTTTGCCTTAGGTATACCCTAGTCACAATTTAAAGGCTTTGCCGGGGGCATAGGAAAGTCTCAGGAAGATAGTTTAGGTAATTTGGATGAACTGAGATCTACCTTCAGTCCCCTTCCCGTAAACAGCACTAGGCGCACACGCGGGGGGGGGGGGGGGTTCCACAGAGTTTTGTGCTCCCATTGCACACTTGCTCACTTTCCTGCCATCTGTGCGCATATCACCTATGGAGAGCCCCCACTGCCACTCTGCTCTCCACACCAATGAGTGTCTGCCCTAGGAGTCGGGGAAACTGGGCATCCAGAGGTGGGACAATCTGTCCAAGGCCATGGAGCTCTTGTCTCTGCCCTCTAGGATCCTGCTGAGGGAAAAACTTTACATTAGAAACAGTGGCTGTAATCCTGGGACTTGAAAGGCTGAGGCAGGAGGATTCCCTCTAGCTTGTGGCCAGCCTTGGCTACCGAATACTACCATGCCTCAACATTCCCATCCAGAGAATCATGGTGACACAGGCTCGTAACCCCAGGCCCTGGCAAGTGGAGGCAAGAGGTTCCAAAGTTCAAGGACATTTTCAGAGTTTGAGGCCAGCCTGGGCTATATGAGACCATGTCTCAGGAAAAAAGACAAACAAACAAAAAACCACAAGTTCACTGTAACTGAATACGGAGTGATGTTTTATGACAGCACTGGGAACAGAAGCCTGGCAGGCAGGGAGACCTCCCAGAGGAAGAGGCAGTGGCCACTACCTGAAAGATGAGGCTGGGTGGACAGTGAGCCAGGCTGGCAAGGGCAGGGCTCACAGATTCATCCTCTCTCTCCACAGTCTTCCTGTCTGCTGGTCTCGGGGTACTTGCTCCCCCAGAGACCTGCCCCCCACCTGTGACCAGCACCAGCTGGGAGCCCCGGCTGGGGATGTCATTCCCATCAGGTTCGGAAGCCCAAGCCACGGTGGAGGCCACAGGGCAGGGCCCCAAGAACCCACGTGTGTCCAGTGTGATGGTACAACTGGAGATGAAGCCCCTGTGGGAAGAATTCAACCAGCTGGGCACGGAAATGATTGTCACCAAAGCGGGAAGGTATGGGCATGGACGGTGGGGGCTGGGTGGGGGTGGGGCCACAGCGAGGCTGAGTGCCTCTCTCCCGCAGGAGGATGTTCCCCACCTTCCAGGTGAAGATCTTGGGCATGGACACGTTGGCTGACTATGCTCTGCTCATGGACTTCATCCCTCTGGATGACAAAAGATACAGGTCTGGGCCCTGGGGGACAGGAACTGGACCCCAAGAATGGACAGGGTGATGTGGAGCCCTTCTGAGTTCAAGCCAGGGAAACCTAGCCTGGAGCAACAGCCTTTAGGCAGAAGGAAGCCTAGTGCACAGGGAGTGGGCTAGCCTGAGGCAGGCACAGGCGTGCACACACATACAGAATTAATTAAAAAAATCACTCACCAGGCAGACTGAACATGCGGGGTCAGGATCATCCTCTTCACCATTCTCTTGGTCAGACTTGGCGCTGACCAGGACAGGGACAGCCCCTGACCTCTCATTCTGTTCCCCCAGGTATGCCTTCCACAGCTCTGCCTGGCTGGTGGCAGGCAAGGCCGATCCTGCCACACCTGGCAGGGTGCACTTCCACCCTGACTCACCAGCCAAGGGCGCCCAGTGGATGCGTCAGATCGTGTCCTTTGACAAACTCAAGCTGACAAACAACCTGATGGATGACAACGGCCATGTGAGGCACAAGCCACTAAGCCATCATGGGGAGGGCCTGTGGCAGCTGTAGCAGGGAGGCACTCAGACTGGGGGAGCCTGGAGCTAGCAGGGTTGATGTGGTATTTGAATGGGTATCTGAAGGAAGAGAGGGAGGAAGGGGAGATGTGAAAGGAAGCTGTTTGAAGCCTAGGGGACAGCCTGAGCACAGGTCCTGAGGCCAGACAATATGGAGTGAGTCTGGAGACTCCCAGTGGGGCTGAAGTGAAAAGATGCTAAGGGAAGTGGTGGGTAGGCTGTCACATGGGGTCAGGTGCCGAATGAGAACCCTGGCTTTTCCTCTCTGTGGATGGGAGCTATAGAGGATTTAGAGCGAGTTCATGTGTCTTGCCCAGCTTCTGTGTGGAGACGGGGCAGGACAGGATATGGAGGCAGGGAGGCCAGCCAGCATGCAGCTGAAAGTGACTGGGGTTGGTTAGCACGGTGGTTCGAAGGCAAAGGACAGTAGGCCATGGACAAGAAGGAGCAGAGTCTTGGGCCCAGGGAGGGTGGCGTACTAGCTCTACCCCTGCACTCGGCTCCCACCCTCCTACAGATCATTCTCAACTCCATGCACCGTTACCAGCCCCGTTTCCATGTGGTCTTTGTGGACCCACGCAAGGACAGCGCCCGCTACGCCCAGGAAAACTTCAAGTCGTTTGTCTTCACAGAGACCCAGTTCACAGCCGTGACAGCCTATCAGAACCACCGGGTAGGTCACGCCAGAGCTCACGAGGACCAGCCCTTCTCTGAGGGGTGGAGACTGAGGCTGGAGATTTCTCCTGCCCCCTGGGCCAAGGGGGTCTGGGTGGGTGACTGGAAGTTCCCAAGGGACAAAATGCCTAAGTGTGGGCTCTTCGCGGCTCACATGGCTGGAGGCCAGCCTGTAACTAAACTTTCTCTCTGTAGATCACACAGCTGAAAATTGCCAGCAACCCCTTTGCCAAAGGCTTCAGAGAGAGTGACCTGGACTCATGGTACTGTCTCACACACATCTTGCTCTAAGCCCAGCTCTGGCCCTAGGCTCCACCCAGGCAGCTCCTAAGGCCTTCACTCCCGACCTGTTTTCTCTGGTTTGCCATGGGATCCCCTATCTGACTCTGACCATAATATCTGGGGTGGAGGGTCCCCTTGACCTCCTACCCCATTCCTGCTTGTCCTATCTTCAGGCCTGTGTCCCCAAGGCCACTGCTCAGCATCACACCCCGGAGTCGTAACAACCTTGGTCCCTGCCTCATTAAGGGTTTGGCAGAACGAAAGAAAGGTGAGGACCCAGCCCAAACACAATGACAGGCACACAGGCCTACCAGGAAGGGGCTTCACTGTGATCAGCAATACCCCACCCTCACCCCCACCTAGGCAGAAAGGTCTAGGGCAGAGAGCAGGGCGGGGACAAGGTATAGAGCACAGGAGGGATGCCTGGTGGGCTTCCTGGAGGAGGTGGATCCCGAGCTGAGCATTGGAGATGGAAGCCCATCTTGGGACTGGGAGGAGAGTATCTGGATAGAGGAGAAGCTAAGGAAGAAAGTCCAGGAAGAGAAGAGAACAAGAAGAAATACTGAGGCAGATCAAGATGGGAGACCAGGGACAAGGGAGACAGGACAGGTCTCAGTATTAGGACTGGGCTTACAAGGGGAAATCTGTGAGCCACTTAAACCATTTCCTCCCTCAGAAGCCAGTAAAGCTTCAGCTTCCAACTCCAGGACTCCTACCCAGCCGCACCATCAGCTGCTGCCTGCCCCAGAGGTCCTGCTGGCCCCTGCCACCTACAGGCCTTTCCCTTACCAGGACCTGTACCCTGGAGCCCCTGGCCACGTTGGAATCCCAAGGGCTCGACTGGCACCATACCCTCTCCCCAACATCAGTCCTGATGGAGATCAGGAAGACCCTACCCTCCCAGCCAAGCTGGGGCTCCTATCCTCCTCTGCCTTGTGCTTGGAACCTAGCCAACACTCCCAGTGATGGCCAAGTGCTTTGGAAGCACTTTTACCCTATGCCCCACCTCTCCCATCCTCCTTTGTAGAGACATCTTCTAAGGAAGCTCTGATGGCAGTGGTTACTGCCTCAAAGTCAGTCTGGGGCCTCCAATCTTGGAATCAGGATTTCTACTTAGAAGCCCTGAATCCTGTTTCAAATGTCCTTCTCCCACATTAAACTGCTTGACACCGGTAGTCAGAGCTCTCTGTCCACAGAAACTCCCAGAGAAGACGGTCCCATCACCTTTGTAGGTATCCAAAAGCTGGACCCAGGAGCACAGGGTGATGGTAACACTAATGACACCAGCAAGGCTGCACTTAACCTGGTGTGTCCCCTACTTTGTGCACCCATATAAGGACGTAACCGGCTCAGAGAGGCTTCTGTTCACAGTCACACAGCAAAGTACATCTGACACCTGTTACTCTATTTAAAAACTGTGCCCCCAGGCCGGTCCTGAAGGCTAGAGGCCATAGAGGGGTGCTTAATATGACTGGTAGGGATCACACAGGCCAGGGTAGGGACGGGTGTAGACTGGAGAGCCAATCAAGGCCGGAGGGTAAAGTCCAGGTGGATAGGGGCTGGATTCCAGCTCGACAGACGCTGGTGGGATAAGGCTGGGGGAGTGGGCGCTCCGGGGAACCGGAGAACTCCGACTTGGCTTAACCCGGAGCTCTTCCTGTGAGACCTTCTGGAAAGCACCAACACCTGCAGGAGCGAGAGACAAGGAGCCCAGCCAGACATCTCAACTCCCGAATCTGAAGTCAATTCAGGTCACCCAAGCGTTCCAGAAACACAAAGACCAAAACAACCCAGCAGCACTGATAGGGAAGTCACGCTCCCGGAAAGAAACTCAAGTCAGAGGGACACACTTTTCCGGACACGCCTCCACTGGCTCTAGGCCAGGTCTTTCCCTAGGGTGGCGCTCTGGTCCGGTTCTGCCCTCACCTAGCAAGCTCCTCCCCAGATGCCCTAATCACCTCTGCTACCCAATAGCAGATGACCCCGCCTTCTCGCCCCTGTATGCCCCGCCCCAGCTGGCACTGCCGCGTCCGCCTCCAAGCCCTGCTGGAGCAGGCCCCGTCCCGCCGGCCACCGAAGCCTTGCTCCGGCCGTCCCGGACCGATCCGATTCCCGACTCCACCCGAGGCCCCGCCCCAGCAGGCACACACGCTTCCGACCGGCCCTGAGACTCCGCCCCACAGTCCCCAGCAACGCCCCCTTCCGGGTCCCGCTTGGTTCCCGGCTCCGCGCAGGCCGGCGCCCTCCACGTCCCGGGTCATCTGGGACATGCTGCCCGATTGCCTGTCGGCCGAGGGCGAGCGGCGCTGCCGGCAGCTGCTAGCAGGAACCACTGCCCGGCTACGCTCGCGGCCCGCGGCGGCCGCGGTGCTCGTGCCGCTGTGCCTGGTGCGCGGTGTTCCAGCGCTGCTCTACACGCTGCGCTCCAGCCGCCTCGGGAGGCACAAGGGGCAAGTCAGGTACGCCGCCCCCGGCGCACCACCTGCGGCCCGTACAGGCCGCTGAATTTTTCCCTCCAAAAACTGGACTCTATTCCTTACCGGGAACTGGAAGGAGGCCGTCCGGGGTTCCCCTTCTTTGGCTTCGCCCTCAGCAGACTTGAGAACACTTCAGGGTCAAAGTCTGTACCACTGGGACACAATAGGCAGACTTAAGGTATCGGAGCAGCAGGATAGTCTTGTCCTGCTGCCGACCTCATGCCCTAACCTGCATCTCCAGTGCCTCCCCTCATCCCCTTACTCTAATGATATAGAGAGGTAAACTGCCTCCTGAAGGCCTGTGGTCCCAAGACTCCCTTTACTCATTCAGTTTCCCAGGCGGTAAGTGTGACCCCGACGACCAAGATGTAATACATACGGCCCTTCGGGAGACTCAAGAGGAGCTGGGTCTAGAAGTGCCCGAGGAGCACGTGTGGGGTGTCCTGCAGCCTGTGTATGACCCGGTGAGCCACGCTGTGTACCCCAAGTGAAGGGTGAGCCTGCCCTGCTCAGGGTCCAAGGAAGGCGTGCAGGGCAGACTGCGTTGCTCTGGGCTTGAATGGCAAGTGGGTGATTTCAGGGTAGTACCGGTGAGGGCAGAGGGTTAAAACGTTTCGAACCTGTAATCAGGCAGCATGGCGGAGAAGCCAAGGAAAAGGACTGGAGGTCTGGGCCATGACTACCCAAAGCAGGTCTGCCTCTGAGGTTTGCTTCTCCTGACTGCTCACCCTCCTCCTACTCCAGAGAAAGGCCACTGTAGTCCCTGTGCTTGCCAACGTGGGCCCGCTGGATCTGCAGAGCCTCAGGCCCAACCCTGAGGAGGTGAATGGGGGGTACTGGGGAGTTGGGATGTCCTACTGGGGGATTCAGAGGTAGTCCTCTGCCCACCCTCTCCTTGCCTCCTGCCCACAGGTGGATGAGGTGTTTGAGCTGTCTCTGGCCCACCTGCTGCAGACACAGAACCAGGGGTATACCCACTTCTGCCAGGGTGGCCACTTCCGCTACACAATGCCTGTCTTCTTGAATGGACCACACCGTGTCTGGGGTCTCACAGCTATCATCACTGAGTTCACCCTGAAGTTGCTGGCCCCTGACATCTACCAGCCCTACCTAGTTGTCCCTGAGCTGCCTAGGAGTTGAGGCCTGGCCTTTAAGTGCCTCTGCCTTCGTTTGAGCAGGCTACTCCAGAGCTGATTAAAATCTTTGACAACTCTCCCTCAGCATCTTCTGTGTGGAACACGAAAAAGCAGGGCGTGGTGGCACACCCTTGGAATTCCAGCACTGGGGGACGTTAGGTGGATCTCTTGACCAGCCTGGATAGACTACTTGGTGAGAACCACACCAAATGAAAGACCCTGTTTCAAAAAAACAAGATGGGGCTGGTGAGATGGCTGGTGGGTAAAGGCACCTGCCACAAAGCACAGCAACCAGTGTCTGACTTGGGGACCCACATGTTTGGAAGGAGAGAACCAACTCCTGTGAGTTGTCCTCTGACCTCTACATGCATGCTCACATATGTGGATGGATGGGGATACACAGAATAAATGTTTAAAACATGGAAGAAGAAAAGTATGCGGCTTACTTTTGTAATGCCTGCACACTGGAGGCTGAGACTGGCGGATGGAGAATCCAAGGTCCTCTTGCACTTGGGTTACATATTGAGACTTTGTCCCAGAAACCAATAAATTGTTGGGTAGCAGAAGGGGAAGAGGTGCTGGAGCTACTGTCAGTGAGATCCCCTGCCAGGAACACCTCAAAGAAGTGACCAATTGCCAGGGCGGAGGCCTGTCTAAGTAGAAGGTACTGCCTGGGCGACGGAAGAGAAGAGGTACATGGACATGGAGTGATAGACCAGTCCACACAGAGGGCCACCGTAAGGTCAAGGGGCAGACTTGGTAGGGAGACAAAGGGGCATGACTGCTTTGTATCCTAGCCAGGGGACAGGGCTGGAATGTGGCGTGATCTCCAGCTGGTTTCCTCAAGGGAACTAGAATACCAGGTGCTGTACCCGCTTCTTCCACAGAAGCCTCCCCATCCCTGCACACCTCCACAGTTCCCCCTCTTTACCTCCCTACATTCCTGCCCTTCTCACCTATTTCCTCTCCCGCCTACCCCCAACACACCCCCTTTGTCACCTCTAGCCCTGCAGCCTCCTCACCCAGCAGCAGGACCACATGATGGTGACAAAAATAGCTCCATCTGACAGAGTGTGAATGGAGGGGCAGAGGCAGCAGACAAGGCTGGGCCGCCAGTGCTAGGGAAGGGCCCTTGGGCAGTGTGGGCACCTGATCCCCTCCCCTGCTCAGTCACACACTTGCTCAGATGGGTCACTTTAGTCTCAGGTTCTGTTGCCCTAAGCATACACCAGAGCCAGCAGCAGCAAGGCAGAGGCACAGCTGTCAGAGGTAAGGCCCCCAGAGGACTGACTCTAACCTTGACCTCCAGGTAGAGCTCCCAACCCTTCCCTTTCAGTCTGTCCTAGGGCAACCTTGCTGATGTTTCTTTATTCCATCTTGGTGGCTAGGTGTGTGCCCAGTGTCTCCGGTAGGTGAGAGCTTCTCTAGTCTCTATGTCTGAGCCACCATGGCGTGTGCAGGGCCAGCTGGTGGGCGGCAGCGGGTAAGCATGCAGGAACACATGGCCATTGACGTGAGCCCCGGCCCCATACAGCCCATTCGCCTCATTTCTGACTACTTCCCACACTTCTACCCCTTCCTGGAGCCGGTGCTGCGTGCACCAGGCTCGCAGGCTATGCTGGCCCCGGCCATCCACTCTGCATCCCAGCTGCAATCCAACCCAGAGCCAGAAGGAGACTCGGATGACAGCAGTGAGTAGGGGAAACAATGAGGGGATGCTCCCCAGACTGGATGGGGTGTTCTAGCAACCATGGGAGAGGCCAGGCAAGTGGCACTGTGCCATGTGGGATGGGTGGGTGCAGGAGTGGGGTGACCATGCCTGCCACTTGCCACCTTAGCTGCCCTGGGTACCCTGGAGTTTACACTTCTCTTTGATGCGGACAACAGCACCCTGCACTGCACAGCCCATCGTGCAAAGGTGAGGATGAAGGCAGAGTTTCTGGGATGGGACAAGCCGCAGATCTTTCTACATTCATTTTCTGTTTCCAGGGCCTCAAGCCACCAGCCTCGGGCTCTGTGGACACCTATGTCAAAGCCAACTTGCTGCCAGGGGCCATTAAGGTAAGGGTAAGATCTAGGCCCATTAGATGGCAGGGCCAGTTTAGGTACCATGGATCCTGCTTCACCACTACTCCAAGAACTAAGTCTCAGTTGCAAGGATCCAAGAGTCAGGGCAGGAGGCCAGGAGGATGCCTGATCTCCCTGCCCGGCTCTAGGCCAGCCAGCTTCGGACACGCACTGTCCGAGGCACCAGGGGACCTGTCTGGGAGGAGACGCTCACCTATCATGGCTTTACTTACCAGGATGCTGGACGGAAGACCCTGAGGTGAGGGCCCAGATCAGGCCACCAGTAGAGAGGCAGGGGGTGGGGCTCGCATGGCCAGGACTGACCTGGTTGGCCACTAGGTTATGTGTGTGTGAAGACTCACGACTGCGGAGGCGACGAGCACCCCCCTTAGGGGAGCTACGAGTGCCCCTGAGGAAGCTAGTGCCAAACCAAGCCAGGAGCTTTGACATTTGTCTGGAGAAGCGGAGGCTGGTGAGTGGAGTTGGGGCTTAGGTTGGGTCCACAGGGCCAAATTCCATGTAATGAAAATGGGTTAAGGGACCTGGACGATAACTACTGAAATGATCAAGGGTTTTGCTTTTCAGACCAAGAGGCCCAAGAGTCTGGACACAGCCCGTGGGATGTCTGTGTATGAAGAGGTAGGTAGGAGAACTTGACTGAGCAGGTATGGAGACAGACAGGCCCAGATGGTCCAGGCTGGGATCAGAGGCTTGGAGGAATTTGAGTCCATCTCTCTCATAAGGTCTCTGAGTCCTCAAGAACCGGCTAGGCAGGGTGACGATGACTCTTGCTAGGGTAGCCTGGAGATGAACCCTAGGAAGGACCTGCAGAGTTCTCAGAAGACAGGTAGGCAGGGAACCAGCAATCTAGAGGCAGGGCCTGAAAGGTGGTATTTGTAACCAGAGGTTACAGAGGTACTGGATAGGATAGAACAAGCTTGTCTGCCATTAGCGCCCACTCTGGGGATACCTCTGGGTGTTCCTGTCAGTAGGCAGAGAAGGTAACCCCACCTGAGATCCTCCCCAGAAACCCCACAGCCTGGTAGGAAGGGCATCTACAAGGCTGGAGGCAGGCCTTCCAGCTGCTCCTGTCAACAGAGTAGGTGCCCTGACCACTAGTAAAGGCCCAGCTTCTGCAGCGGCTGATTAGCTAATCCCAAGCCTTTGAGTCCCACATAGTGGACATCACTTAGAACCCCCAAACAGTCTGCTGATCCCAGAGCCCATGTGTAGTTGTGCCCTGGCACATGGAAGCTGAGGCCATACACTCCTGCATTACCGAGCACTGCCAATGATAAAAGTCTGGATCTCTGCCGTCAATTCTACCCCAAAGATGGGAAAGAAGGCTTGATTTCCCAGCTATCATACCAGCTGGGGGGCTCCAATGTCTAAAGAATGTGGCAAAGGACATAACATGGTTAGCTAGGCAGTGGTTGTGGAGGTGGGCTTAAGAGGTAAGAGACCTGTCCCTTTCTGGTGACAGTCTCCTAGAGCTACTTCCCTGCTTGCAGCAAGGGAACAAGCCACTTAGAAAGCTCCTGGTTTTGACATGTCACATGTATGGCTGTGACAATCATCAGTTCTCCTACTTGACAGAGATGTGATCAGCAAGCCCCTCCCTTTCTTGTGCTTTGGAGGGTACAGATCTCTGAGTGACACTGTAAGGTCTCTTCTGGGTACTGGGAAAATGGCTGTTTAGGGAAATAAACTTGATGGCCTGGTTCTTCTATAGCCATCTGTGCTCTCACACTGGGGCCCACCCCTACAGGTGGCAGGCTTCAGACAGGACAGGGTCTGACTGTAGCTTGCATCTCCAGGAGGAGATGGAGGCAGAAGTGTCTGGGGAGGAACGTGGGCGCATCCTCCTGTCCCTATGCTACAGCTCCCAGCGAGGTGGCCTGCTGGTGGGCGTGCTGCGCTGTGCCCACCTGGCCCCCATGGATGCCAATGGCTACTCGGACCCCTTTGTCCGCCTGTGAGTAGAAACAGGCAGGTGGGCATGGAGAATGAGACAGAAAACCTTTGGCTCTGCAGGGGTACACCTGACAAGCCCATCTCTCCCTCTAGTTTCCTGCATCCAGGTTCTGGGAAGAGATCCAAATACAAGACCAGTGTTCGGAGAAAGACCCTGAACCCTGAGTTCAATGAGGTGGGTCTCAGCTGGGAGAACCCAGTAAGTGTGGTCATGATTTAGCAAACCAGGCCCTGCCTGAGCCTGTTTCTAAAGCAGCAAAGAACTCACCTCTTTCCTGTCCCTTTCCCTACAGGAATTCTTTTACGCAGGTCATCGGGAGGAGTTGGCCCAGAAGACACTGCTGGTGTCGGTGTGGGACTACGACCTGGGCACAGCTGATGACTTCATTGGTGAGCAGCAACACTGGGTGCTGTGGGGGGGGGCGGTCTCACGAGCCTCTGCTGGCTACTGACCCATCCCTCGGCAGGTGGGGTAACGCTGAGTAGCAGAGCCAATGGGGAACGCCTTCGCCACTGGCGTGAGTGCCTGAGCCGCAGTGACTGCCGGCTGGAACTGTGGCACCTGCTGGACAGTGTGCCCCCCCAACTTGGCGACTAGCCAGCACAGAACCCTGCTTGCAGCCTCTTCAGAGGCCAAGATGTTGCTGCAGCTGGAAAGAGCTGTAGGTTGGCCCTACCTGCTGTGCCCATTCCTGTCTCCTTTCAGTCACCCTACCTCCAAATAACACAAAATAAACATCTACTTCTGCTAGCCAGAAGCCTGGCCTTGTTCTAGGAACACCTGCCTCTTCTCTGCCTGCCTTACAGGGCAGACCAGCCCCATACTCTCCTGTCTCTTAGCCTTTAGAGCAGTGGTTCTCAATCTTCCTAACGGTGCAATCTTCGATATAGTTCCTTATGTTCTCGTAACCCCAACTTCTAACTGTAACTTTGCTACTATTATGAGTCATAATGGAAATATCTAATATGTGACCCCCAAAAGGGCCATGACCCACAGGTTGAGAAGCACTGCCTTAGAGGCTGCAATGGGCCAGGTTCACGACTGGGCACATAGCTCAGTGGCAGCATGCTTACCCAGCATGTCCTCAGGCTTGGGATGGATTCCCTAGTGTCATTAAAAAGAAAAGGAGGCCAAGCCCAGCCTTCACCTCCCTGCTTCTCTTGCCCAGCGAGGGAGTAAACCTCCACAAGTGGATGGGGGTGGAGGGTGAAAAGCACAGGCACAGACAAGCTGTGACCAGGGCAGCAGCACTTGTTTATTGCCTAGCTTCCCAAAGACGTGTGAAATTCGGAGGCCAGGGTACAGCTCAGGAGGCTGCCTGCCGGGCCGGGTGCTGCTGAGCAAACCGTTGCATTCGCTCCTCAAGCTCTGGCCGGAAGTGTCGGATCAGACCCTGGGAAGGAGAGAGACACACTGTATGAACCAGAATTTCAAATTCCCAAAGCTCTGGACTCTTAATGCCACCCACCATAGTGTGGCAGGCACAGCAGGGCAGTGAGTACCTGTACTGGCCATGCGGCCCCATCACCCAGAGCACAAATGGTGTGGCCCTCTATCTGCTTGCTGATCTCCCAGAGAGAGTCAATCTCAGCTGGCCGGGCATCCCCCTTCACAAAGCGGGCCATCACTTTGTTCATCCAGTCAACACCTGCAACAGAGCAGCAAGAGGGGCCTGAGGCTCTCCCACCAGGGAGGGGGACAACACTCAAGGGGTGCAGGTCTCATGGCAGATTAAGAACAGCCCAGCAACCAAACCCCAGCCTTTCGGGGAAGCTCACCCTCACGGCATGGGGTACACTGGCCACAGCTCTCATGTTTGTAGAACTCAATGAGACGAGCGATGGCTTTCACAATGTCTGTCTAGAAGACAAGAAGCAATGAGCAGACACCTTAGCCTCCCACAAAACCCCTAGCCTGAGTTCTAGTGTTATGGCCCACAGTCTCCCACTGTACTGGGATCTCAGGCTGTAAGGACTGGTAGGGTAGGGAGTAATGCCCAGGCTGGCAGTAGGATTGTGGGGCATGGGGCTATTACCGAGCGATCCATGACAATCACCGCAGCTGTGCCCAGGCCTGTCTGTGCTTGCACCAGTGCATCAAAGTCCATAAGCACTGTCTCACACACAGATTTGGGGATCAGTGGAGTGGATGAGCCACCAGGAATCACAGCAAGGAGGTTGTCCCAGCCGCCGGTGACACCACCTGTGGCAATTCCCAAAAGAATTACCATGGCTAAGCCTGGCACACCCGCCTAGGCTTAAGACAGGAGCAATGTCGGCCCTGAACCCAGTCCGCTCATGAGTTTCCCACTGTGCCACCTCCTAGCACCTTGCCCCTCCTGGCTGGTCCCCAGCTTACCAGCATGCTTCTCAATCAGCTCCTTCAGTGGCACAGACATCTCCTCCTCCACAGTGCAGGGGTGGTTGACATGGCCAGAGATATTGAACAGTTTGGTACCTGAGTTGCGTTCTCGACCAAAGCCAGCAAACCAGGTGCCCCCACGACGGCAGATGGTGGGGGACACAGCCACTGTTTCCACATTGGCCACAGTTGTGGGGCATCCAAATACCCCTTCAAGAAAATAAAAAGAGAATGGTGACTGGTGGCTTCCCAGGAAAGAGAACAATTTTGTTTTATTTTTTTCTGAGACAGGGTTTCTCTGTGCAGCCCCAGCTGTCCTGGAACTTGCTCTGTAGACCAGGTTGGCCTTGAACTCAGAGATCCCAGCCTGCCTCTGCGTGTGCCACCACCACCACCTGGTTGGGAACATGTTTCTTGCAGTGGGATGTTTCCTGCCCTGGTCTTGTGGCAGTTCCTACTCTTGTCTCCTCAGCACTCTTTCCCACACTGCTCTCCAGTCCAGGGGAGCTCATCTGCTCACCACAACACTCCTAGCTCCTACAGCAGGTACCGTGAGACACAGTACATGGTGAGCAGGGGACATGGGTGTCTGATGGTGGCAATGGTAGAGCCTGTGTTACTGATACCTTCTCTTATCAATCCGTCCTCCCCTCCAAAGGGCACAGAGAAATATCATAAGAACCACCCAGGGGGCTCCTGGTCAGATCCAGGACCCCACAAGGTCTTACCCACATCTGCTGGGAAGGGTGGCTTTAGGCGTGGCTTTCCCTGCTTGCCCTCAATGGACTCAATGAGTGCTGTCTCCTCTCCACAGATGTAGGCCCCAGCTCCGCGCACCACAAACACGTCAAAATCATAGTCAGAGCCACAGGCATTCTTGCCAATCAGACCTGCTTCATAGGCCTCTCGAATAGCTACCTGTGGGATAAAGTGTGAGTTTCCCAGTCCCACCACACTTAAAGAGTCAGCCTCTAATCCAGGGGCCATGGAAGCCTTAAAGACTTCCTAAATCAATCTTTGGAGCACAAAGGAAGATGTCTCGGGTCATGTCCTGTTGCTGATGTAAGCAGAAATGGATACCCCACCCCAGGCTGGACCAGAGACTAGTGCTACCATCTAAGAACGGCTGTGCCAGGAAAGGAAGCACGAGAAGGATACATGCATTGTCGGCCAATACCCATTGGTGCTCACCTGCAGATTGGAGGCCTCATTGTAGAATTCCCCTCGGATGTAGATGTAGGCAGCCCGGGCGCCCATGGCTCGGCCTCCCACCAGGCAGCCCTCCACCAGCTTATGAGGGTCATGGCGCATGATCTCTCGGTCCTTACAGGTTCCTGGCTCCCCCTCATCAGCATTCACCACCAGGTACTTGGGCCTGTGGGGTCCTGAACATCAGTCAGGCTACAGACATACCAGGACCCAGCACTCAACCAAACTCCATTCCTTCTGTACCCAGAGAAGTCTCAAAAAAGCCGATCCTCTCTGGCCTCGCTGAGGGTCTTTGCCTCACTCCAATGACAGCCCAGTCCATCTCTGGCCAGGTATGTCTACAAGAAAAGTCTCTGCTCTCCTTAGTCCCAACATCTCTCCCTGTGCCTTCCCTTCCGAGTCAGCTCCTAGTCATAACAATTCTTCTCCAACTTCCACTACAGCCCAGAGACCAACAGAAGGTAGAGCAGCTGACTTAAAAAAAAAGAAAAAAGAAAAAAGAAAGAAAGAAAAGAAAAGAAAAAGAAAAACTGGGCTGTAATCCCGGTACTCTTCTTTTTTTGTTTATTTTTTGAGACAGGGTTTCTCTGCAGCTTTGGAGTCTGTCCTGGAACTCATTCTGTAGAACTCACCAGGCTGGCCTCAAACTCATAGAGATCTGCCTGTCTCTGCCTCCTGAGTGCTGGGATTAAAGGTGTGCGTCACCACTGACTGGCTATCCCAGTACTCTTGAGTCAGAGGCAGAACTCTGTGAATTCAAGGCCAGGCTGATCTACAAAGCAGGTACCAGGATAGCCAGGGCTATACAGAAGAACCCTGTCTGGACAGCCCATGGCTCACTGCTATGATTTGCACTCTAAGTGTCAACTGAAGCTGCAGGTCAAAAGCTGAACCACCATTATCTTTCTAATTCCCACATATCATATTCAGGCACAAAAAAAGAAACTTCAGATTCGAAAGGACCAGATTCCACAAAGCTTGACAATTACTATTAAGGCCTGTCTGAATCAAAATCTTGTATGGATTGTAGCCTCTTGAGTCCCTGCTGAGGAAATCTAGAGACATCTCTTAAGTTCTGCCTAACCTCTTACAGTCTGCAAAGTCCCCCAGAATCAGTCCCAAAGTCCAGTGCTCCAGCAGCCCCCAGTCTGTCCTACAACCACATCTCAGGGTACTCCCCACAAACCTGCCATCTGAGGGCTTATTCATGAAGCTCCACTTGAGGCCAGTGGGAAAGCCAGCACCACCACGGCCCCGTAAGCCAGATGTCTTGATCTCACCCAAGATCCAGTCAGGCCCTTTCAGCAGGATCTCTTTTGTCTTGTACCAGTCACCCCGACTCTGGGCACCTTTCAACCTGGAAAGAGTAGGAAAGGACGTAAGGGAGAGGCCCTGCTAAGGGACCCAGCAGGCCAAGGGCACTGTCTCACCTCCAGTCGTGGCGACCATACAGGTTGGTGAAGATCCGGTCTTCATCCTTCAGTGAGCCAAATGAGGTTTTCTTGGGTGCTGTCTGGAGAGACAGAAGGTCAGGAGGTGGCCCAGCAGAGCTCTGTGGTCAGGAGGGGTTGGGCAGATGCTTCAGCTTCTTGGGCCCTCCAGAATGGAAGGGAATGGGCCACAGAGGGGCGGAGGCTTCAGACTCTTCGAAGTGTTACAGCTACCTGTCATTGCTACCAATTTCAGTGCTTCCTGCTTAGAAGTTACCGGGCTAAACATTCCACACCTCACCTCAACTCACCCAGGTAACAATCCTGACATAGGAATCCTTTACAAAGGAGGAATCGGAGGCCCTGAGCCAAAGGAACTTAGGGACGGTCATAAAGCTAAAAGCAGATGGCTCCTACTGAGCCCATGCCATGCTTCAACTATGGCATTAACACTGCTCTCCCAAGTCCAGCATTTATTTGTCTGGCTCTTCCACTAGAGCAAAACCTGGTTAGAGGAGGGGTCTGACATCCCTGCTAAGGAGGCAAACTCTGTTCACTGAAGGAAACGAAATGCCTCACTGGGGATGGGACACAAAAGGTATGTGGGGCCTACCTGGGATAAAGTGGAGATGTATGGGCTGGAATGGGTCATGACAGTAGCAAGTACTCCTTAAAAGTACTTCTCAGGTGTTGTGGTGGATGCCTGTGGTCCTAAGAGCACCCCGGGACGCTGATAAGAGCATCATTACT